TCGCCCATAGCACCTTTCCCGATAACTATCGGTGGTTGATCGAGTTGAACCTTGTTCTTTTTTATCAGTATCCTCTGTGTCATTTTGATTTTTCTTTCCTTCGGACAAAACGGTAAAAAGATAGAAGAGACGGATAAGTGGGCAATTGGTCAACATTACAACATACTACCTCCTTTGTAGGACAAAATCAGATGATGTCCGCGAATGGTAGGAGAAACTACCAGAAAATGCATGGATATCTTTCACCTACGTAATCAAAATAAACCCCAAAGCTCGACATACATCGCATTGTGTTAATTTCGAGGACGTCCATTTTTTTTCTCGATGTCCATTATCTCATATTACGTACAATACGTCATTGTCCTCAAATGCGTATAGGTTTATTTCAACGTTGTAGGCCTGTACTTCGCGCACTTATACATACTTATTACGTTTTTTTCTCAACCTGGTTGGATTCCACCTTTTCGAACAATAAAGCCCAAATGTAGAAATTCTGATGTAAAAGAATAATACAAGTAGATTGATGATCTACAGGACATACGTAATAATCCATTTGAAATTTTTTTTTTTTTTAAAGTCAAAGATACGTGATATCTCATTGTTTTACTACGCCATCGCAATTTACTGGAAATACAATAAATATAGATTTCCCGAGATCTGATGACCAGAAAAATCGATGTCACGCTATTTCCTCAAAAATTTAGTGTTTTCATCCATGTGCGAGTATAATTTCATTGCTCGAACTCAATGCAAGGTGATCAATTATGTTGCTCCTTGCATAACGCTAAGCGCGCATGGAAAATAAAAAAAGGAACTCACAATCCCTTTCCTTTTACACTGCCGAAAAAAATATATCCTGCGATCGTCCAAGGGTTGGTCATATACGAATTTGGAAAACGAAAAGAAGTAACAATTAAAAACCTATATTAAATTATTATTTTTTTATATTTAAGGTATGGTACACCGCATCTGTATAATTACAGCATCTTGACCCTGATTTTTAATATTTAATATTGGTTTCATTTTTCTTTTTGATTTTTTTCTCATCAGAACATTATCTAATAATTATCGGGGAAACACATAACGTAATGAGAATCAATTATTAGTGTAAATGTTTTCCCGTATAAGAAATTACAGTACATGATGATGTTATATACTGTACTGTATTTACAGTATAATAATGAAAGTATATATTAATATATTATTAGATCTTTTTTTTTTCTTTCTAATTTTTGATCAAGTAATTTTTAAATATAAAAAATTTTTTTTTATAAATTTATTTAAATTATATATTTAATATAATTTTTATTTTTATTAATAGAAAATAATAATGTATTTTTTTATTATCATATTTAACTTGCTTTACTTTTTAAATATTATAATGGAATGTTATTTTATATTTTTTTAAAAATATTATTATATAATCATTAAATATTATTAATAATTAAATATATAGCTTACTTTATTTTTAAAAATTTTTTTTCTTTTTTTCTTTTACTTTTTCTAATATATTTTCTTATCTGCAACAAGTTAAGTTTAGAATATATTAATTTATGCAAAAATTTTTGATTAAAAAAATATATATAAACTAATAATAACAATATATATAATAAAAATTTTAAAATTAAAAAATTTTTATTTAATTAAACTTTTTTTTCTTAATAAATTATATATATAAAATATAAAATATTTATTTTTTTTTAAAAAAAAAGCAAGTAAAAAAAGCTAAAATTTTTAAAATAATAATATATTGTTTTTGTAATATATAAATATTTTTTATTTGATTTTATAATATAAATATATAATAAAATAATAAAACTTTTATTTTGTTAAAAAATAATTTAATATTTTATTCTTTTCTTTTATACTGGTTTTATTTCTTTTTAAAATCAAAAAAAAAATCTTATTTTAATTTAGTAAAAAGTTTTTTCTTTTATTATTATTATTATTATTATTATTATTATTATTTTAAGAGACAAATTATATAATAATATATATTTTTTATTAATAATTAATATTTAAGTTAGACCAGTGGGTCAATAGCATAGTGGGTAGTGCTTCCTGGTCTTCAAATACATGTCTCTAGTTCAATATCCACAGGGAACAAAAATGCATAATATTCCTTCATTTGTGGGTTTACTGGTTTTCCTACAAATGTCATACTCCAAACATCCAGATCCTAATCAAATTTAGTTAGGCTGCATGAAAATGAGACCTCTGGTCTTCCCGACAATCGTGGACTGAAAATAAGTCGAAGCACGGAAGGTTGCACGAGGAAAGGCTTCTAGTCTAACTTCGATAAAAGCCCACAAACCCCCTGGTATGACAGACTCCGTAGTACAAAGAACATTCTAGCCTGGGACTATCCCAATCCGGCGCTTGCTTAAAAGAAGAGGATCCGATAAAAAGGAAAATCTGAAGCTGCAGGTGGTGACAAAGAGTACAGTACCTTCTCCGATGAACCAGGCGAAAAGTATTGAATGGGTTATCCGGATGTTTTAACCAATCCTGAAAGGTATACGCTCCAAACGACAATCGCCAGGATCTAGATTAGGTTAGATAGTTTAAAACTAGTGGTAGGATTTCTACCTCCTAAAGATCCCACCCGGTGTGCGGATTCACCCCCGCGGTGGTTAAAATCAGTATAACTGGGTAAGGCTATAGGTGGAGTGCGGGTTAACTTAAATGGATCTTGTAGTTATGTAATTGGATATAAATCACTCAATAAAGATCATATGCTATATGTGTTCTTTATCTGAAAAAAAAAATTAATATTTAAGTTATATATCAAGTATCTTCTAAATACAAAATCATTTGTATTATTCTTATACTATTTATGTCTTCTATATATATAAAGTTAACCCTACTTATTAACTATTACTAGTAATAGCTAACTTAATTTATTTTTAATTCAACTATACAAACTTATACTATAGGAATGGACCCATATGTCAGGTAGAATTAATTCAGGGAATGAAAAATCCTATCATTAGTTTAAATCCACCTAAACCTATTAATCCTATTGTATTATTAGGAGCATATACCTTTTAAAATTAATTAAAATATTCAAATAATTCTAGGGCTTCAAAAAATATCGAATCGATATTAAAATGGTATCAAAATAGTATTGATCTATAGTAAATTTAATACAGTGGGTGAACAAAAGTTTATGGACAACTTTAAAAATTAAAAATTAAATTAAATTAATAAAAAATTAAATAA